TAATTTGGGCCATTTCTAAGAGGTCCTCAAATTGTTCCATACATCATGGTCCATTATAGACTAGTAAGGTACCCCAATCCTCACCCATCACAAGCTTCAAGCAGAAAGGGTTCAATCTGAATGAAAGTGTTTTGCAGGCCCATGCGGAGATATGAAATCTCACGAGGGCATAGGTATTTCATTCCCTCTTAAAGGTTGAGCCCGGGTGGAGGGCTTATGTTATGCTTATGCAAGTGAATGACAGATATAACAAACATATATTTAGGTAAAATACAGATACTGAATAATATAGCAGACAACTAAATGATAAGAAAGCATATATAAGCAATGAAAAGAAACAATTTCAAATTTATTAAACAAGGCTTGGATAATAAAAATCTTTTACTGGCTTGACTCTCATAAGGTTCCCAACGAAGTCATCAAACTATTGTAATGTATAGATCCATAGTCCTACCACTAGACATGGATGTAAAAAAGTCACCAACAATCTTTTTTGGTTAGGTGTGATTGGCCACCTAAAACTGCTTTGCAAAACAAAGGCTAGGTTCGGGAGTCTATTACACATAAGAAAGGTTGTAGCACCCCCAAAATGTTCATCCAAGGGATGGTACCAATTTGATTTCGAATTATCGAAGCCTTGCTTATTATTGTTTACCATATAGTAAATTTTATACTTTCCCCTTTTTCCTTTCTTTTTTCCCTTTTTTTCTTTTTTTTGCTTTTGTTTTTTTTTGGTTTTTATTTATTCATTTTTTTATTTTTATTTTTTAGGAAAATCCCTTCTTATCTTTTTTTTAGAAATTTTCTTTTCCTTTTTTATTTTTTTTTAAAAAATCAGAATATAAAATATGGGTAAAAATAAATAAAATAAAAATCAAAAAATAAAATAAAATCAAAAAAGGAAAACTTGCGATCAGGTAGGGTTGAGACGTGGGTCAACGCGAGGATCTTCGAGTCGATGCACGGATCTTGGCTTAACAAAACAGCATCATTCTGGAGTGGTATAAAAGGGGCCTTTCAGCATTTTTCCTCAAAACCCCAAAGCCTTTTTTCTCTCTACAAAGAAAATCCCCTAACCTTTCTCTAAAATCTCCACCGAAAAGTTCAACCGAAAATTGAAAATCCCATTGGTTTCTAGAAATTTCATTAAAAAATTCAACCAAAAACTAGAAAACCAATCAGTTTCTAGAAAACCTATTGGATTCTAGAAACTTTGTCGGAATCTGACCAAAAACTTCAACCTTTGTCAAAAAATTCAACCAAAAAATTCAAATGTTCTTCAGAAACCCAAAAAAACCTAAAAAAATCCAAAAAAATTCCCAACTAGTCCTAACCCCTCCTAGACCTCTAATAACCTCAAATCCACCCAAAATCACACCCAGAATCACAAATCGAACCCAAAATCCCTATCCTCGAATCCCAAAAACCCTTGTTGCCAAAATTTTCTAAAGCTGCCCTAATAATTTCCTGTAAGTTTTTCTTCTTCTTATTGTCTGTTTCAGTGTTAGAATCAGTTTATAGGCAGTCCTATGAGCAATTTTAGGAAACGAACAGAATCAATCCTAAGCTTGAATCCTGGGATTCCATTCTGTCCATTGAGATTTTGAAGTCCAAAACTCCAGTTAGTCTCTTGTTGATACAATTTAGCATTTAAAGCTTGACTCAGCAGGATTTTGATTCTGATCACGTGTGAATCAGAACAGAAAAGGAAAGAAGTAAAGAAAGAAAAGAAAAGAAAAAAATGAAAAAAAAATAATAATGTAAGCATCCACTTGGACCAAAATGGGCCCTAATGGGCCCGACCCAAAAAGGCTTACCCAAAATGGGCCTAGTTGGGCCCATACCAAAATTGGCCTAGTCGAGTCCAGACCAAGATGGGTCCAATTGGGCCCGGACCAAAATGGATGTCTACATCTTCAAGACAGCGAATCCATTTCTCTATGTTTTGGATTTTTATCTGCGGCTAAGAATGTTGTTGGATTTTAAGAAGATGGCCAGCATACGTAGTTGATGGAAAGGTGAAAGCTCTTAATATGGAGGGTGCCCTATCTGACTTCAAGGTTTCTGGTGCAGAACACATTTTGGAACAGATATAAAGAGGTTATAGAATCATTTTGCTAGTGCGCACCAGCACTTTCATAAATATTTTATATATTGGGGGATGGGGGGATTTGAACCGAGCTCTTTGAGCCGGGAAAACATGCACCATTGATTGAATCAAATGCTTGAGTGCATCGCACCAGTACTTAACAAGTTAATATCATGTTAGTTCTTGTTGGTTTTACAATTATGTTGCTACTACTTTCCTGAAGTTTTCAATGTTTATTCTGGAGTCTACCCGTGGTTATTTTTCTTCTTGGGAACAAATTCACTGCACATATACATATTGTAAGAAAACTTTATTGCATTTGGCTAGAGATCAAGGAGATGCGTCCTCTCTTTTTGATGCTAGTAGTTATATTTGTTTAAATTCTGTTCCCCAACATTTCCCTGTTCATATTTCCTACATACCATATCATATTTTTGGTGCAAAGGATGCTGGCTTAGGATAATAAAAGGATTACAAGTGCTGAAATTTAAATTTCATACATGTTGAATGTCACTTTTTAAAAATAATTACATGAATCAATTAGATTAAGCTTCGAGTTTATATTGTATAACCATTTTGAATCCTTTCGACCTTGGTATACATGAATTTTACTGTTATTAGTTTCATTATTGCTGCTATTTTACAAATGAATTGTCTTGTTCTATGTAGATATGAATGAATTATTTATTTATTTATTTATTTTTGGTACATTTGAGAGAGTTCAAAGAAAAAGGTAATTTGAACTTTGATTTTACCTATTGGCAAAAGAGGGTAAGTGACTTGTTTAATAAAGAAGGTGACTGACCCGAAATCTCTTTGATTTTTGCGTGTATATGGGTATGAGACATGAAATGATCAAACATGGTTTGACACCTCGGACATGGTCGGATTTGGGACTGCAAGAAAAGCTTGAATCCAACAAATCTTCTCTGGTTTGAGGCATGAATAAAAGTAATATTTTTGTTCCATTTTTTTACAGGCATGAAAAGTTTTCGTAATTAGAAGTCCAAGTACAAACTTAAGCAACATGATGAGCTACTATTAGATTTTGTTTTTCATTTTTTGATTTGGATTACCAATTATTTATAAATTTTTACAATTTTAATATTTGATTTACGGTTTTTTATTGATTTGTCCATCAATTTTTGTCTCCCTTATTTGATCTCTCTCTCTCTCTCTCTCTCTCTCTCTCTCTCTCTCTCTCTCTCTCTATATATATATATATATATATATATATATATATTTGGTGGTATAAGAGTGTGGATGGAGATTTTATCATTCTATTTATATTTCTTTTTATTTTTTTTATTGAATTCCATGTTGAATCTACAATTATATATGAGATCAGTTTCATTTTTTTAAAAAATTTCATAAAATTGGATTTTAGTTTTTGCTTTTTTCTATGTTTATTTACCTTTTTTAGTTTTTTATTCCAATGAATTAGCATGAGATTGTATTTTTTTTTTTAAGTCAAAGACAAAACATGTCACTTATTAAAAATCATGGTAATTTTAACAAAGTAAAATGATATAATTAATAGTCATGACGTACCCGAATTCTCCCATTTCATCTAATGTAAGACCAAATTCTATGAAAGAAACAGCATTTTTTATCCTAGGTGTTAGATCCACAACAAACAACAATTTTCTCCCATGTATTACCAAGTTCTGAGAAAAAAAGTTATACAAAAAAAATCGTAGTTTGGAAATAAAAAAAAAAGGTTACAATTACTGTGATTTAAACTTCATATAATGTCACTTTAAAAAATGATTATATGAATAAATTAAATTAAATTTTAAGTTTTTTCGAAAAACAATTTCTATCACAATGCAAAAAAAAAAAAAAAAGAACAATATGGTTCTACTGAGTTAGAGTGGTTCAGATAAGATTAAACAAATAAAGGAATTACTTCTGTTGGAGGTTATCTACAAGAAAAGATTGTCTTCCTCGTTACTAATTGGCTAATTGGTTCATCAAAGCTAACCCATCTTTATCATTGCATCAAATATTTGGGTTTTTTATATTAAAAAAATTCAAAGTCGAGACCAAACTATAAAAAAATTTCTTTTAAATTTTAAAGTTGAGTATCTAAGGTTGCTTCGGTTGTTTAGGATTTGGACAAGCTTCTTTAGCATCGATTAATTTTTAAGTGAATTTAGTTTAAAATATTACTAATGACAGTTGCAAAGTTAAAGTGGCAAAGAGGTAGTCAAAAAGTAAATTATAATTTACTTTCTTTTGTTGGAATATATGGCTGGCTTGTGTTCTACTTCAAGCAGCAACATGCACCCTTTTACTTCATTTCCATCTCTATCTTTCTTCATGTACTGTCTTAATTCCATGTCTTGAAAAAATTTCTCAAAATCAACTCATTTTTCTCTCAATAAGGCTTTCCTTTTTAAAAAATGTTGTAGTCGAAGAATAAAAAAAAGAATGTAAGTGTTAGAATTTAAATTTCAGACTTATTAAATATTATTTTTTAAAAATTATATGAATCAATTGAATTAAATTTTAATTAAAAAAAGTATATTTTGAATCTATAGTTAGCATTAATGATATTTTGAATCTATAGTTTTAATTAAACTCATGAATAGATCTAAATGATAGTAAAATCTTTAATATAATACTTAAATTTTAAAAATTTTTAATGTGATATTTATATTATAAATCTATTAATTAATAGAATATTTGACGGGCTTTTTGTCCGTCACGTACATTGTTTAAAACTAATTACATTAAAATTGAATAATACATAGATTAATAAATTTATAATTCAAATACCATAATAAAAATTTATAAAGTTTACATATCGTATTTAATATTTTATTATAATTTAGGGATTATTTATGATATTATCCCTATTAAAAATGAAATAAGTAGATATGGTAATAGTGGAAGAAATGGATCGGATGGTTTTTTTCTTAAAGAAGTTAGACACTTAGAAATAATAACGAAACACATCCACCATCATAATTCAGCATTGATCAAAATAATAACAATAAAGAAAGTTTCGATGATGGAACAAACGCAAAAGAACGAGACAATAGAGGAAGTTTCAGAGATGCAACATTCAGCATCTCAAAACAAAGAGGCAAAGCAAGCTGCTTCACCCATGGTCATGGAGCTATCCGAAAGACTGTTCAAGTATGCCATGAAAAACCAGTGGGATGAAGTGTTGGATGCCTATAAGGAGAAGCCTGAGAGTCGTAAGGCCAAGATCACAGAAGTCGAAGACACTGCTTTGCATTTAGCAGTCTCCGGTGGGAAGTTTGTCATCGTAAAAAAAATGGTGGATACCTTGGAAAACAATGCTTCAGATGTTTTGAAAACAAAGAACAAGAGAGGAAATACGCCACTTCACATAGCAGCAGCACTGGGCAATGCACGGATGTGCCATTGCATAGCTTCAAAAGATCCTAATCTCATTGCTGAAAAAAACGTAAAGAATGAAACCCCATTGTACTTGGCAGCTAAATTTGGCCATAAAGATGCTTTCCTCTGCCTCTATTTTTGCTACGAAGGAAACCCCGGGGATCTATGCAGCAGGGCTGAAAGTGGCGATACCATTCTTCATGCTGCCATTACTGGAGAACACTTTGGTAAGTTCCATTGATTACTCATCCCTTTTGGATTTTTTCTTATTTAAGAAAGGCCAGATTCAAATCATGTTCTTCAAGCAAGAATCATGCACTAACTAATTGAGCCAAATGCTTAGGTGTTAGAGACGGATCTACCTTTAGAATTAGAGTATCTATAGACATTTCAAAAATTAAAATATAAAAAATATTTTCTTTGATACTTTCAAAATTTTTTTCATACTTCCTTTTCGACGACAATTATTAAATTCATGTGATAATTATATATATATATATATATATATATATATATTATAAATACATATCTTCAAAAAAACTTTTGATAAATCCAGCTGGAGTGTACTCTTTTTGGATTCAATTGCAATATTTTACCAACATTTTGTTGTGTTTTTGGATGAGAACTTAGTTCTTATAAGAAAATCGATATTTTTCTTTGACAGATTTGGCATTTCAAATCATATGCAAATACCCAGAGCTCGTGAATTTTGTCAATGAAAATGGTTCATCTCCTCTCCATGTTCTGGCCACCAAGACTAATGCATTTAAAAGTGGCAGTCGTCTTGGGTTGTTTGATCGGATCCTCTACCGCTGTAAGCATTTTTTTTCCTACCTAATTAAATTACAAATTTTTTGAGACAATATTAATTAAGAATGATTCTTGAATTTGATAATTAAATTTTAAAAATTTTTAATATGATATATAAATTATGAATATTTTAATTAATGTGACACTTGAAGGATTATTTGTATGCTACTTATTATTATTTGGAACTAATTACACTATACGTAAATATCACATTAATTCATAAATTCATATTTTAAGTATCAAATTAAAGATTTTTAAAATTTAATTATCATATTAAATATTGTATTATAATTTAAAATTCATTTATAATATTAACCTTTTTATTTAATTGGAGGAAGGAGGACTTTGATTCCATTTCGAGGAATTCTAGTTATAGTAGTTTGAACCACCGCCTTTTAACACATTAAATAAAAATTTTTGTGATTAAATTTTGTAACAAGGGGTTGGAATGGAAAGCTTGCAGTATTTAAAACAAGACCCCAACGAAATTATATGCATATTAATTATTTTTTCTCTAAAAATTATAATAAAAATTTATTACTTCTATTTAGTCATTCGCTCAAAAATATGTTTTTATTAAAATTATAAAAGAATTTAATTATTATAAAAAGAATATATCATTTATAATTATAGATCATGCACAATCGTTGATTGAATTATCAATGATCAACGAAAATATTATATGAAAATAATTCTAAATATAATGAAAATTTACTTAATTTTTTGTTGTAATTATATAATTGTAAAATTATAGTAAAAATAATTATAAGTAATATGTTGTCAATATTTTTTTACAGAAAAACCACAACATAGAGAGATTTAAAAAAAAATTACAAGCGTTGGAATTGAATGTAACATATACTAACACATACCTAAATTAATATATTTAGATAAATAAAAATCACATTTAAATAAAAAATCTAGATATAACAAAATTAGAAATAAAATTTTTTTAAAATTATTTTTTTTTGCCGAATGTCTAATTAAGGATGGCAACGGGATAGATTTTGCTTGCCTTGATTATGACCTGGCTCTCTAATGGTTTCACTCAAACTCGTCTTGACTCATTATTAAATTATTATTTTTGATATTCGATCTCAATCCAAAATATGTATGTATAATTTGCATCGACTTTGATTCAATTTAAAAGTAATTTAATAATTTTAATTTAACATAAAATTGATGATGATAACGATTGTATTTGTAGGTATAATAGTGGATGAGATGAAGGACAAAAAATATGACAGTGCAGATTACCTGAAAATGTTTGAAGAAAATGATAGTGGTGGTCATGGTCCTTGGTTCCCCCCAAACTACGAAGCCTGCGTGAGCTTCTACCGAATGTTTTCTGGTGTGGCTTGTTTCGGCATGCCAAGTAGGTTATTCTCTCATATAACAAACATAAATGGATTTATATTTTTATTAAATTATAATTTTTTTTCTTGACATTTTGATCACTAAGATCAGAGCTACTTTTTTCGAAGGTAAATGTTATTTATTAAACAATTTGAGAAAATAAACTAAGTAAATAGGAAAAGTAAACAATAAAGAAAACCAATTTTGCTCTTTTAAGTTTTAAATTTTAAAAATAATAATTATAAATAACCAATAGGAAAAAAAAATCCAGATTTTGTAGAGATATTTTCTTGCATTAATAACAAGATGAAGAGCAAGAGCGTAAGGGACGAAGAAAATCCCCAAGGGAAAGGCAAAATAACTCAAGGTAATTAATTAATTGAGTTTCATTATCAATTGGGAAATCATTGATTTTAATTATTAATAAGTATGGGAAATTGTAGGTGAATCTTCATCATCTCAAACAAAGCCAGAATCAAGTACTACAAATGGTGCTGTGAAAGTTTCATCAGATACAGGGAGTGGTACGTATTTACTTGATTTAACATATCAAATATTTATTTAAATTTTTTAATAAGAATAAATAATTGATTTTTTTTTTAAAAAAAAAAAAGCAATTTTGATTAAATATTAGAATAATAATTTTTTTAATTTTAGAAAATTAATTATTTATAGTTTTTTGCTATGGTGCAAATTGGTTATAGGTTGGATATACATTCTAAAATTTAATATGTTACTTGAGCATGAGCTGATTTTGTTCATTATTTCTTATGCAATAGGATTTTTATGCTTACGTGTGAATTCATAATATGTAATAGGTGTGAGGTTTTTAAATAAGAATGTTTGTACGAATAAAATCAGAGAAAAAGCAATAAGAATACAAGTAAATACGTAATTCAATCATAGTGGCCTGCATCTATAGAGAAAGATCCAAAAGGTTATATTGTTAATACTTTAATTTATATAAAAACGTACATAGATCCCATATTTATATGGCTGGTGTAAAAAATATATAAAAAATAATAATGAGAGAGTTATTAGAGATTACAACGAGACATGTTCAAGAATCGAGCTATCCATGAAATCCGAAGGTCTACTTAAATTTTGATAGGGTTTGAATAAAAAATTAAAGTTTATTAAATGAATTTAAGCATAATTTTTAGATAAATTTAAATTTTGAGTTGGACTTTGAACCAAAAATTTAAAACTTGAGCCTAGCCGGCCTGATCCTAATTCACATACATATAAATTTATTTATTTATATAAAAAAAATAAAAATAAAAAATATATATTTTATTAAACTTAATTTTTATATTTATATAATTTTTATTTTTAATTTATATATATATGTGAATTAAATATAGTCTCATTAAACTTAATTTAATCACTTTTTTTATTATTATATAAATTAAGTTTAATGAGTAGGTTTAGAATTTTTTTTTTAATTTAAACCAATTTTGAAAAATTTTTAAGACAAAATATTTTGAGTCTGACCAGACCTAAACAATTATATAAATTATTAATGTCAAATATAAACTCAACCTAACTCTATCCATAAATATCTCTAATTACAACTGAATATAATTAATTTTTAAAATATTTTTTAAATCAATAATTGATTACTCTTTAATTACCAGAATAATTCATAATTGTCCTTATAAGAACCTTGAAAAAGTCAATGCTTTTATAATAATGATAGGCCCGTAAAATGGAAATATTGAACTGATGAATTAGTTAAATTGAGAGCAATCTGGGCATATAAATATAATAAAAATATTTTTATTTATTATCAATTAATTTCACATTGAATGCCAACCTATTGTGATTTTAGATAAAATATCCATCTCAAAATTTAGCAATTCTTTGGGTGAGGTTAAAACGAGATAAAGATTTTAATTTCGAATCTAGCAATTACATAACTATAAATACGAATTAGTGGTTAAGAGATGAGTTGAAAGTCATGTAGGCGTGAATTCGACCTCGCCATCCCCCTCTTCCATTGTAAGAGTATTAACCATTCTTTGCAACCCAAAAAAAAAAAAAAAAAACGAATTAGATAATTATATAACTACAAATAATTTAATTTGTACCCACCGACTTACCTTTTGGGATACCATCTATATTGAGTAATGCTCCTTTTATCTGCTACAATCCATTTTTCTTGTTTATATTTTTTTGAAGGTACTAGTCCAAAGGTAAAGGAAGACAGCGAAGAGCATAAACAACACTATCTTCCAGCCAATTATGCCACACTTATACAGTTTTTCAAGTTTTTGATGAAATTCCTGATGGTCGTTTTGGGACTTGGTTAGTATATGAATTCGTTTTTACAGTAAAAATTTTAAATTCCATAAGCAGAATTAAAGAATTAACATATGAGTTCACTTTAGGTTTATATTTGTATGAGTTTAAAGTGTTGATGAATTTAAGTGTTATGGTAGCGCAGGCTTTCAAAGGATAAGAAAGATAACAACAAAGAAGCAGAGACACACATGGGCATCTCAGGTGATGGATAAGTTGATTGAGAATGCTTCTATGTATAAGTATTCTGGAGGAAAGACTGGCACTGGCAAAAGCGAAATGACTGAACACTTTCCCTTTATTCCAAGCCTGATGACGAGCTCATCTCATGAGGGTACAAAATCATGCAATGGCAAAACTTCCTCGGTTGAAACCTTAAACAACCAAGGGCAATGTCATATAAGATATCTTTAGGCATAGCCTCCGATCTTCAGGAGTGATGAAAATTTTCTATTAATGAATATGTTTAGGTTGTGATAGATTTTTAAGAAATTGACTTCCATGCATGTCATACAATATCTATAAACTAGCTAAAGTTGTGATTTCTCATATAGATTCCTCAAAAAAGGAAAAGAATGATGGAATGGTGGAGAAATTTCTTGGAGAATACCATATTACAGGCAGTGTTGATTCGAAGACTTCAAAGCATGCTGTGCAGATGAAATTCGAAAAGAAAGGAGCTAGTGAATCAACCAGAGCGGATACTCCTAGTCCTATACTAATAGCAGCAAGTAAAGGGATAACCGAAATGGTAGACAAAATTTTGGAAAAATTTCCTGTTGCAATCCAGGACGTGGATGCCCAAAACAAAAATGTCTTGCTCTTAGCAGTAGAGCATAGACAAGCTCATATTTTCCAATTCCTAATAGAAAGAGAAACTTTCCATGAAAGTGTTTTTCGCCATTGGGACAACCAAGGAAACAATGCATTGCATCTTGCTGCAACGTATGGACATTATCGACCCTGGCTTATTCCAGGATATGCATTGCAGATGCAATGGGAACGCAAATGGTACAAGGTATGATTTTTGGGCTCATTAATTGATTTACACAATCTCTCCATTTGTTTTATGTTGCCGTTTCCTTGAATTCAGCTATTCTATGCAGTTTGTCAAGAAATCCATGGAAAAACATCTTCTTGTTCATCACAACAATAAAGGTCAAACCCCAAAACAGATCTTCACAGAAACGCACAAAGCCCTTGTAAAAGATGGCAGTGAATGGCTCACCAAAACCTCGGAATCATGCTCCGTCGTTGCAGCACTGATTGCAACGGTAGCATTTGCCACTGCAGCAAGCATTCCAGGAGGTACCAGTCAAGATACTGGTAAACCAGTTTTAAGAGATGAGCCTGCATTTGTTGTCTTCGTAATCACATCTCTTGTTGCTCTTTGCTTCTCCATTACAGCCTTAGTCTTTTTCCTGGCGATTCTCACATCTCGATTCGAAGAGAAAGATTTTGCTATGAAACTGCCTAGAAAACTTATTCTGGGTTTGACATCTTTATTCACATCTATAGCTGCAATGCTGTTCTCCTTTTGTGCAGGGCATTTCTTCGAACTCGGAGATAAATTAAAATTTGCAGCATTACCAATATACACAGCAACATGCTTGCCTATTTCCTTCTTTGCTCTTGCACAACTACCACTCTACTTTGATCTTTTAAAGGCTATCTTCAAAAAAGTGCCACAACGCAGCTACAAGGAATTTGCTTGCTAAACATCTGCTATGCCATTTTATGTTATATATAATACTTGCCTTGGTGGTCAAGTAATTTAATTTTTGTTAGATATAATATAGGATTGGCTTTGTATGAATGTGGTTAAAATATTGTTGTTTTACAATGATTGATGTACCTTAGTGTTATTATCTATGTGACATTAAGTTCTATTGTTGTGCACTTGAAGGAATTACTTCTACCATGGTTTGATGAGTTTTTTTTTTTTTTCTTTTTCTTATGATGGTATGGAAAAAAGAAAAAATTTGATAATTATAAATACGATATAATGATACATTATAAAAAAATAAAAGTGAAATAATTTAAAATTTTAATAAAAATTATATATAAATTTATTAAAAAATTATATTTTTTATATAAAAAATTTTATATTTTACACATGTTTGATATAAAATGGATGTGACACGAATAGATTTGAAAAATACAAATATAAATATATTAGCATTACCTATTAAATTTGAAAGTTATTAAATAAAAAAAATTACAAATGTAAATGAATTGTAAATAAAGAGATAAACATTTTAGCATTACCTATTAAATTTTATTATAAAACTAGATGTTTTATGGATTAGGTGGCTAACTAGACCTATAGATTTGGTTTGATTTAGAATCGAACTTTGAATAAAAGCTATTATGTCGGAACTATTTTTTATAAAATTATTTTATTTAATTTTAGTTTTAAAATATATTTTAATATTTTAATAATAGACACCTTTGTACAAAACGGCTTTACTTGCAATTGTTCGCAAATTTGTATAAATTCATCTAAATTGTAAATGAATTAATTTAAAATGATTTATATTCAAAATAATTTAATATTAAATTAATTTGATTTTAAAATTTAATAATTTAAATATAAAATAATTTAAATTTAATAATATAAAATTCAAATAATTCTTTAAAATATTCAAATTTAAAATAATCTAAATATAAATCAAACCAAATTTTATTTTGACGCAAAATAATTGGATTTGAAATAATTCTGACGCAAGCCGGACCGAATCCATTGAATTATTACGCGAGGGATCCATATAGGAAAGAAAACGACGCCGTCGAATCCATCTTTGGAAACGTAACCGAAGCTTTAAAATCTGAAACGGTCAAAATCAAAAGCATCAAATCAAATTGAAACAAAAATAGAAACTTCACCTAAAAAAAAAAGGCTTCTTTCTCTTCGATTCTTCCTCGAACCTACACCGGCTCAAGGACCAAACACCCGTGAGTTTTTCAGTCTCCAAATCATTGAGTCAATCAAAACCTACATTGGGTGACTTACCCAGATTCTCTCTCTTTTTAAAACAAAATCTTTGAGCTTTTCAATTGGAATCTGTCCTTTTTCCAATGGCATGCAATGTGATAAATTCATGGACATTCGCTGGCCTAGTGGGTGCTTTTCTTGATCTATCAATAGCTTATTTATTGCTTTGTGGATCAACTCTTGCTTATTTGGCTTCAAAAATCCTGGGTTTATTTGGATTCTCCTTGCCTTGTCCTTGTAATGGATTGTTTGGATACCCAGATAACAACATTTGTTTCCAAGCCATGTTAGTTAATGACCCATCTCTTAAAATCTCCTCTGTTCAATCTTCTGTCAAAAAAAAGCTCCCATTTGATTCGATTTGGAGCAACCATTATGATGATGATGCTGAAGAAGAAGAACAAGAACGCCATTATAGCAAATCAAATTTGGCCAAGTGGAAAAAGAATGTTGAGATGGAAGGGGAAGCAGAAACATCTTCTGGTTCATCGAAAGCAAAGAAGAGTTTTGTTGGAGAAAAAGAGGGAAGCTTTGGGGTATTACGTAAGTGGAAGGGGTTCGGGAGTCAGAGGACTAGAGTTGGTCTTAGGCGGCGTAAGAGAGCCGGTAGTGGTCATCGTGGAAAGGTTTTGTCTTTCTCGTATGATTCTTTGGTGACGATCACTACCCCAACAGGTTTTAATTCTTCTGCTATTGTTGGTAAACTTGGGAATGATATGCCTGAAGGGAGCAACACTTCAGTTAATTCCGAAGGTGATGATCTTTTGTTATCTTTTAGTTTACTTTTATCTGTTTATTCGATTTTGATTTATGTTGGAATTTCATATTAAGGATCGTTTGGATGAAATGAATATGCCAACAATTGGTACAGGATTGCATGTTGAGGATAATAAATTACCTTACTAAATAGGTGGAGACCATTGTGAAAAGCACTCATTTAGTATTTTGATATCTATTTTGCTGAAACTGTTTTATTAGCAAAGCTTGTAAAATTAAGTGCATCAGTGGTTTTACTTATATTTCAGTGTCCGTATTGATGATTAGCATAAGATAGTTAAGATTATTAGATTTTTGAAACTTTTTAAATAAAATCTAAGGGAGTAGTGATGATTTAAACAAAAGTGTTTCGTTCTGATGTGATGGAGAAGAAGGTTTTAGTCTTGCTACCTCTAAGTTTGTATATTGTTTTTGATGTGATGGCGTCCCATTCTAAAATCTAATATGATGGTATTTTTTTCAAGAAAAATTTTGTAAATTCCCACAATACATTAGCGTAAAGGGGAATGCACATGATAAATGCTTTTGCTTTTAACTTGTATTTTCACTTGACATTTTAATGCCAAATCCAATGTGCCGGTTTTGTAATTTTAGATGGCAGGGAAACTTTAAAAGAGATTGGATTGTCTAAGGGAGGTTCTCTGCGTTTTGAAATGGATGATGACCCTTTTGCTGAGAATAAACCCATAGAGAAGGAATTAACATTGGCTGAGTTTGAATGCTTGACACCCAATCAGGATTTTAATGGCAGTGATAAAAATGCAATTAGAATTTTAGAACAAGCTCTAGATGAAGAGCATGCTGCTCGAACTGCTTTGTACCTTGAGCTTGAGAAAGAGAGAAGTGCTGCTGCTACTGCTGCAGATGAGGCTATGGCAATGATACTGCGTCTACAAGAGGAGAAGGCAGCCATTGAGATGGAAGCTAGGCAATACCAGAGAATGATAGAGGAAAAATCTGCATATGATGCTGAAGAAATGAACATTCTCAAAGAGATCTTATTAAGGAGAGAAAGGGAAAAGCATTTCTTGGAGGAGGAAGTTGAAGCTTACAAGCAAATGGTTTTTGGAGAAGAGCAATTGGATACTGATATGTATGTTATAGCAGCCACACAGGAACAAAGGACTTCAATTAAGGAGCCACTGCTAATGTTGCAGCAGATCAGTGAACCCGTTGGAGAGGACAAGGCAAAAATTAACAGTGATTTTTCAAAGTATGAGATCACATCTATGGAGTCACCAAACCATACTCTTGCTTTTGGGAAGGAATTACCAGTTCCAGAACTCAATGAAGATGCTGGCTCTTTAAATTCTAGTTTTGAAAAAAATTATGCACATCTATTTAGAAGTGACGATGAGATTAATCAAGAATTTAAGGAGAAGGGAATGGCATCCAAGAACAAGAATCTCAATCATCAAGAAAGACATGTGCTGTCCAATCAGTCAACTACTCCTTGGGGATCTGATTTGCATGAGAAAGCCATTAACCCTGAGGTAGAAGAAGACGAGCAAAGCGGTGAAACCACTCTATGCCAACATTTGACACCAAAGACAACTGAGGCTAAGATAATTTTCCCATATAATAATGAAAAAATGGAGAAGCATGGAGAAGATTTTCATGGCTTAGATTCTGTTATTGATTGTCATGTTCTTGATGTTCATGTCATTAATAATGAATCTAATACGAATAATGAAGGGAGTGAAAACAAAAGTGAGAAGAAGTCAATCAGTGTTACCTCAAACTTGCCTAGAACATTGGATAATCTAACCATTGGTGGGTTAGCAATTGTTCCTGACAGGAAAAGAAACAGTTTAGACAGATCGGTTGGATTACCACCAATTGGTCCTTCACGAGTCAAGTCTTTACCTCCCATTTCGCGTAGAAATTCCATGTCTGCTTTTGATTATGAAAGGTTGAAAATTGACAATGAAGTTGGGTGGCTTAGAGAAAGGCTAAAGATTGTACAGCAGGGAAGAGAGAAACTCAACTTTCCTGCAGGGCACAGGGAAAAGGAACAAGTTCAGTTGCAAATATTGGAAAATATTGCAAGTCAACTTCAAGAGATAAGACAATTAACAGAACCTGGGAAGGCTTTGCGACAGGCATCTTTGCCGCCTCCATCCTCTAAGGTGCCATATTACTCTCTGCATGATTGAATCTATATTGTACTTTCTTTTGTTTACGTTGATTACTACTTCTAGCAGTGGACATTTTTAGAATATTAAAGTTTTATATTTTTAAATAAACCTAAAATCTTGAACCAGAATGGGGTCTCTGACATAAGTGCTCTCTATTATTATTAATTATTTCTAGGAGTCATTTCTCCTTTGCTGGCCCGCAATGCCTTAATTGAGAGCTTAGCTGGTTGTGGATGATCTTTAAACCAATTTGTAGATGTCACTTTGAACCATATTCTTATTTTGATTTAAATTTTGATCTCTATAAGATATAAAATCCTTTTCCCATGTCTATACCACTCTCCTTTTAGACTATCATTTTACTTCACATTTTCAAGATTAGTTTCTCTTGTCTTCTTTATAGATTGAGCTCTGTTCTATAATAAGCAACATTTTTTTCCTTGCTAAGTTAGTATGGCATTTGGAGAAAAAGAGAATTGCGAACCTTTCTTCTAATCCTTTTTTTTTTCACACACCATTTATGTAACTTCATAAGTTTTCTTTTATTTGGATGTTTTAAGCTCGTAGACATAAAAAATAACTTGATCCTGGACAACTTGATTGATGTATGATTCCAGGTTATGTCAAAGAAAAGACATCGGCGGGCTGCCCCTTTAGGAATGTTCAGAAGCATTTAAAAGAGCAAATGGTACTTTTTAATGTTGATAAATGAGTTGGCTTCATTTGGGACCAGCTGATATCTTTTGAAGGTTTGACAGTGACTTTCCTGCAGTTGCACTAGCAAGTTATCTGCAAAACTTTTTACATGTTATGAGAAATATTAGTTGAATAATACACTAGAGATGGAAGAGAAAAATATTAGTTTCTGCTTATTGTTGTAGAATCCAATTTTGACTACTCGGTAGCTTTATAGGATTCAGACTGTAATGAGCTTCTATTGATCACACTTCATGTAACTACCACTTAACATAAATTTTATATCATAAAGTTTCTTGTTCACTAAATTTTAACTTAAATCTGTTGGTTGTAGCGTCTTTTTTTTTTAATTTCTTTTACTGAATTGCACCCTACTGCAGTCTTGTGGGGGAATTTGTTAAAAAATTTTGCAAGAGAAAATTAAAGTTAAAGGATGGAATTTGTAAAACAAGCATTAATCATTTTTTTCCTTTTTGGTACTATTTAGTTAGTATACAAATAAAAGCAAAGATATTGAATACGCTGGAGAACAATAAAGAAACTTGGAAGATTCATTTCATATTTCTCTATCATTGTTGTCTTTGAACATTTCCCTGATTTTGGATAATGAAGTATGATTTATAGCTCCTTCATAGTGTTCATAATGAAGAGTAATTTCTACTAGTTTGTGGATGTATGATATATGCTGATAAAATGTCATCTGTAAAATTCTTCAAGCAGTGGGTGTAATTTAAGGCTGCTAATTCTGTAACTTAGAAAGAAATATGGGCAAATGGCAAAGTGCAATGCACTATTTCATTGATTGTCCACTTGCAGGAACATGCAGCTAGTTACAATGCACTATTTCTTTTCAGCAGGGACTGATATAACTATGATTCTTGGTTTCTCTTGGCATTAGCTGATGGATTCAACAACCAAAAAGAAAAGGACAGTACTATTACTCTAATTAATCTTTGATTAAAACAACCAGAAGAACATAATCTTGTTTCTTTGTTGCCAACAGATGGAATCACCTACACAAGTATGACATAACTGGTAAAGACAGTAAAGTGGTTTACATTGCTAGAAACCAATACTTTTTTTTTTACTGATTGCATGTTATACCTTCTTAGAGATTAACAACTCCAAACTTTAAGCATCATTCTGCAGTGGCTGGAGTATTACTTGGATTCCATGTTGAGGCCGAAGTGTGAGAAAAGAAAATGGTGAGTGGACATATGCAGGGGAGAGGGTAATTGTGTATCGTTGTAGAATCATGGATAGAGCAGTCTTTGTTTCTATGGTAGCAAAGCTCATACCAACACAAGATCGAGGTCCCAATCCAAATGGAATAAATGCAGCCGCACTATATCTGGTAGCTTTGGCAATCCCTCCTGCGAATCTCTCTGGTTTAAAAAGGTGAGCATCATCTCCCCATAATTCAGGGTCATGATGAAGTGCCATTTTTGGGATCATAAACTCTAAATTAGCAGGCAGGACTAGCTTTCCCAATTGAACTTCTCTTCCAACTTTTCTTGTCAGGCTAATTACAGGAGCATATAATCTTAGTGTTTCATTTATGACCATGGCGACCTGTTTGCAGGATAAGAATATATTAAGTTAGATATTTTGGTACAAAAGGGGCCGTAGCCTAAGGATAGAGAAAGGGGTTGCAAGTGCTTGGATTCAAATATCTAGGATTCAAATCCCAAACCTGCTGAATTTCATCTCTTAAGGGTGGTTATATGAACCAACTGAACTAAACCTTTGGTTCATCTCAAAGTTTAATTTACTAAATGTTTGATAGAATTATCGAAATGGTTAAGAGAGTTTGCTTACAGTTTTTAGTTTGGCAATGCCTTCAGAATGTGGATTTTGGTTACCAAATATCTCAATCACCTCTCTTCTTGCTTTCTCTTGCCAATCTCTGTGGACTGCTAAAATCAGAACCGTCCAGGCAAGCAAGCAATTAGTAGTTTCCTGTCCAGCAAAGTAGAATGTTTTGCACTCATCTACCAAATCATCCATTGAAAGCCTGTTTTTCTCGTCCAAATCATGATAGGCATTTACAAGTAATCCCAGAAAATCATTGCCGAAGTTGTCAGCTTCTCCGCTAACTAATTTGTCTTCTCTTTTCTTAACAAGCTCCATCACAGACTCTTGTATTTCTTTCACAAGCTTCTCTGACTCTGTATCATCAGCCGATTTCCAGAACTTGCTGCAAAAGCAAACCAATGTCAGCAATATATATATATATATATATATATATATATATATATATATATTGATTAAGTGACAAGGGATTGTTGGGGTTTGTCCAGTATATTTCCTATTCGGATGGGTCGGGTCGGTTCAAGTAGGCTTATTTAGCTAGTTAATACAATACAAAAATCCTGACGAAGCTCCAAGATTAAGCATTTAGCTAAACTAAATCCATCAAGGCAAAACTTGAAATTAGTCATATGCTTAGAAGAACATACCTTATGACGGGAATCCTAGCCTTAAACATATTACGGGCCGCAATTATTGCCAACTTCCCCAACATGTCAAAAATCTCCTCCCCTTCCAAATAGCTGCTGCCAAAAGCTGTTCTTGATATCACTTCTGAAGTCAAGTATCTAAATTCTTGGAACACTTCGATCTCTTTGCCTTCCCGGCCTTTCCACTTCTCTAGCATTGTTTCAACACTAGCAATTACAGCTGGAGTCATGTTCTGCATGCCAAAATCTAATGTGTAAGTAACAATATAAAATTAACGGCTAGTGTAATATCAACGGATTTTTCTTTCGATAAATTTTGTCAGTAAAATAAATATCGATAAAATTAGGGCTTTTACGATGAAAAATTTTGTTGGTAAAATCCTTTTTTTCAATGGTGTCTCTAGATATATAATCCTTCTATTTTTTATTACAACTAATTCATATATCACAGCTGCTAATAATTTATAGTCCTATGGTTTTAGTTTGAGGTTTTACCTTTAAGCTCTCTCCATGAAAAACATAATCGGCCAACTTCCGCTGTTTTGCCCATTTTTCACCTTCAGTTGACAGCAAACCGTCCCCCAATAGCCTGCTGGTGTAAATTGTAAGCTTCGTTTTGGGAAAAGCATTTTCACTATTTTTCAAAACCTCTTTGATTAGTTCTGGTTCTGTAATCACTAGTTGAGCTCGAACACCGTCCCAAGAAAGATAATTCTTCCCTAATCAAACAAACAAAGGGTCAATTTTTGCTTGGAACTAGAAGTTAGAATTTATAGTGAAAAACATGCATCTTATCTAGGGATGTAAACAAGAATATATTCACGAAACGTTCTGTTCGTTTACGGCCCTAATCGTGTCTCACCATATTTGTTGATGCACGAGTAAACATGAGGCATAACTCTGGGAAATATATCATGTGTCAAGGCCATAGGTTTGCTCAAAGCTTCCTTTCTGAACTTGGCAACTTCCTTATTGTTTCCATGGATGAATTTGTATGGAGGTCCTTTAACTCCCTGTGAACGCAGTATATGCTGTATACGGAGAGGTATCCACCAGTACTCGTACAGGACCTTGAGTAGAGCTATGAGGAGGTAAAGGCAGAAAGAACTTGCGAGAAGGATTAAAAGCTTCAGCATGACATGCATTTTCTTCTCTCGAAAATGAATTCAGATGTTCCTACGTTCTCCCACGTTTGATTTGGAGGATTTGTATATATAATATGGTAGCAAGGGGAGTTAGATTTTTTTCAAAATAACAATTGACATGTGATTCCTGTTTTAATCCCCAAACGGAGACTATGAAAAGATAATTTTTTTATCGACAGGAAAATGAGATGTATCGAACAAAACTCAAGAAATTATCGGCGCTTAACCGAAAAATTTATTGGATTTTGAAGCGATTGCTGTGAATTTTGGACGATGCATCCCATATTCCATTCATGAGTCAGAAAGACGTCCAAGGATACTGTACTTGTTTTACTTTGTTGGATTTTAAGCTTAGTACAAAAGAGTTGGTCTCCTCTTTCCTTTAGTCGTTGGAATAGCTTCAATTTTAGCTAGGACATATGCCAGACAAATCACCACAAGCCAAAATATCACCATCTATTAAGTCTTACAACTCTTAAGGGGGATAAAATAATCAGAATCCTGTTCAATAATCGGTCAAATTTCTTTATTATAGTACTTGATCCTTGTTAAAAGAGTTAACCACATATTTTGTATTTGGATTTTGAAAAATTTACAAATTGGTACAAGAAATAAAATGTACAATTTGTATCATAAGTTTTTAAATAATTTATCATTTTAATCCAAATTATAATATTATTAACTTATTTAGATAGTATCTAATTATTATAAGTTTATTATATGACGGTCATTTGTTAAATAAAAAAAATTAAATATTTTGTAAAAATTTTATATGGATGCTATGTGGTAAACAATAATTGATCGATTTTTAAAAAAATATTTTTACGGTTTTGATAAAAAATATATCTTTTTAATTTATATTGAAAAAGATATTGATAGTTTATATAGTCACCACATAATTTAATAATATTTGTCAAATGCCACATAAATAAGCTAATATGATTAATGTGATTAGAATTTTGGTTAATATGATACAAAATTTAAAAATTCGAGTGTAAATTGTACATTTATTTTTTAAAATATTAATTTATATATTTTGTTTCTGACTAAAAAATTTTATATATTTTCTCAATATTCAAGTAACAAAAATGTAATTAGTTCTTGTTAAAATGAATCCTAATAATCTTTCCTTATGGTAATTGCTGGCTGACCTTAACGTGTACTTATCCAAAGGAAACGAAACAGAAAGAAAATGACAGTGCTAAATGGCCTACCTCCTCTTCCAAATCTACAGCCAGCCAGCCTCATACTTTCTTGGAGCCGAGTTCAGTTCATGATGAATTTCTGGGGAGGCACGTGAAGAAATTTCAAGGCCTCAATACCATTGACCTAAAACATCCACGTTCAGACACTTCAGAAACCTCTCTATTTGGAATTTATACCAAAGACAGACGGAAATGCTGTCATTAAGTTGCCTGGATTTACATATTCATTGCTGCTGAGGTTGTTCATATGACTTTATCTGTGGAATAATCAAAGGTTTTATTCACCCTGGTGTTAGCGGCTTCGTGCCCCGTTTGATACAGTAATTTAGAAGTTGCCAAAAGTTAGATCGTGCAGTTTCAAATCACTTGCATGAAAGACACAGAAAGATTGAATAATAAAACTCAATTGCATTGTTTCCCTCTACACCAAAAATTTTTGGTTTGCATCAATTTCTAAGACTTCTCAGTTCCAAATACTGTATAAATGGCTAAAGGTTAAAATCATTAAAAAAAAAAAAAGTGGTGTAAAAACAATTTCCACCATTGACAAGTTAAAGCAGTCATCTACAAACTTTCAAACCAGAAGTTCCATCAATTGCTTTAAGAGTTGCATCCAGAGACTACTGCATGGTAATTTGTTAGCAGTTGAAGCATCTGGTGTGATTTTTTACTATTGGCTCTCCTTGCAATTTATACATTTCTGCTTCCAAGTTTTTAGTCAGTTCTCCATCTCTTTGTTGTCATGGCACAACAATTGTTTTGCTTATTTGAATTAGTACTTTTTTTTTTTTTTTTCAGATGAGATTATCAAAATTTAAACTTTTGAGTACTAAAATTAAGAATCCGCCATTCTCCCAGTAAATCATGTGATCATTGGGAATTAGGACATGATTATAAGTTGCATTTCCTTCCCTCTAATTTTAGATTTTGGCCTTTTCCCACCCAACATAATGTATTACTAATAATAAATTTTGATTTAAAACAATGAATTTCTGATTTTGACAAAAATTAATCTGTTGAGATTTATACTTCTACATATGAACATGGTTTTTTTATTCTTTTATTCATTAGAAGTAAAAGAAAAGAGACCTGAAAGGATGTTAGATGTTTAAATGACAGAAACTAATGGATGCTCAAGCAACTTGGAAAAATAATGGTTGTAGTTATGGACCACCAGCATGGTTAATTTCAATGGATTTAATCAATTTGCAGATTGTAAGGTTGCTTTTGAAGCCAGAAAAGCAAGTTCATTGTGCATAAGAGAGTTGATTGTGTCAGCTGCGTTGAACAAAGCTAATAAACTTTTCTGGCTTCTGCAGATAAGGTTTTGTTTATAATTCAGCCTGGGATGTGGACTGCTGAGCTGAGACTTCGTAAGCCTAAAATAAAACACAAAACCCCCATAGGTAGGCCTAGGCCTAGGCCTAGAGCAAGGTCTTCAATCGAGGTGAAGTTTTGAAATCATTATATCTCAAAATTTCCTACCAATAAAAGAAAAAAAAATCCCAACTTCAAATTCGTATTTTATAATTTATTTTTCTTTTTTAAATTTTTTAGCATTAGATAATCATTTTGAATTTTGATTAATATAAAATTAAATTAAAAATTTTATAAGGAGATAAATTTTTTCAAAAATTTTATTTTTTTATTTATAAAATTCAAAATTAAAATTTTACTTAAAAAAATCAAATTCTTAACTATTCAGATTATACATCAATTGTTTTTCAAGTTTTATTCATGGATAGGTTTGATTCTTTATTTGTTAATTTTTTTTTTTACATTGGTTATGCAAATGCCAATCCATGGAAGTTTATATACATACACATGTAGGTCTTTGATATTTAAATAATTTTTATTTATATTGATATCTAAATATTATTATATTTAAAAAATAGATGGAACCTATTTTCTATTCAAAAAATAGTTAAAATTGGAACATAATTATTTAAAGAGGGGATACATGATTTATTACTAATTTCAGATAACGTTTATATCACTTTCAAGATTATTGTGTTGGTATAATTACTATGATATCAATGATTTAGGATTATTATGTTTGATGTAATATTATAAATTATTAACGATTTTAAATTATTATATTTAGTATTATATAAAAAAATAATGATTTAAATATAAAATATTCCAAACAATTTTATAAAAAGAAAGTAAAAATTTTAATGTTTATTAAATGAACAATTTATAAAATAGTAGATGTCATTTTATAAAAAATTATAAAATATAAATCAATTTTGATGAAAATAATGTTAAAAAAAATATTAACTAAATTCATTGTCTTTTTTATAATAGTTTAAAAAAGAATGCACGTAAGTCATTAAATGGATTAAGCCAATGAATTAAAATTTGATTACTCAATTCGTTAAAATTTTTAAATTTTTTTTAAAAAACAATTTCATTAAATTTTTATAAATTAATATAAATTAATAAGTTTTTTCTACAAATTAAAAATTCTTAATCATATATATATATATATATATAAAAGATGACTTTATGTTATAATTTTAAAATTAAAAAAAAAAAAACTCATAATATCTTAAAGGTGTGAATCATACCTTGGAGAAAATGATAAATTTCTTTACAACGAAGGTTTGCTTATAAAGACTAAATTTGGAAGGAATCATTCGTTTATTCTAGCTACAATTAATGCAAATTAGTAAAAAAATATAATATCAAAAATTATTTTTTTATAATGATAAATTTTTTTCATCGTTTTAGATAAAAATCAGATCACTCATCAAAAAAATTATGTTATTATCCTAATAATTTAAAATTATTATCACATATTCATCTTTTTAAATAAAAATCATATCACTCATCAAAAAAGTTATGTTATTATCATAATAATTTAAAATTATTATCACGTAAAATTTTTAAATCGCTATCAAATAAATAAAGTGATATAATTACTGAGTGTCTATCACTATAATTTTTAAATTAATCATCTCTTATCAAACTCTCTAAATAATCAGGTTTATTATACCTGAATTTTTAAATAAAGAAAGACACATTTGTTGGTTATTAAGCCAAGTACTGATGATCCAGTATTAGCTAAATAAATAAAATGAAGAAACAAATTGGAAATAATATGATTAATTTGGCTATGTACCAACAAGGGGTTAGCTTAGTTGGTCAAGAGAGAAATTCTTTTTGTCAACTCAAGTTCAGTTTCTGTAAGGAATATTTTATATTTAAAATTTTAAATGCATCAAATTTGTTGAAATTCATATCTTTATTATCACAAATTTATTATTCAAAATTTTTTTTGAAATTATTTATTATTCAAATCTTAGATCCTAAAATATGGGTGACCCTTAATTAATTTACCTTAGAAAATTAAGGAAATAGAAAGAGATTTACAAAGCAATTGCTAAAATTTGAAACAATCAAATATGCTAAATCAAGTTTGTTGTGTAGGTTTTATCCTACTTTTTTTTTAAGTTGCTATTACTCAATTTTTTGTGCAATTTTATCATTATTTGGATAATAAAATATTTCTTTAAAGTTTTAATTAATTCGATAGTTCTTATTATGTAATATATATATTTTTTAATTTGAACTAAGGATAATATGAATAATAAAATAAAAATATAGAAAATCATTGGATTCTTTTCTTAAAAATGAGAACAAGGCCACAAAGTGTCTTTTTTTTAATAATATTTTATATTTGTGCAAAAACTTGTAACTATTTTTATATTTTAACATAAAAAAACGTATATTTGTAAAAAAAAAAAAAATTTATGGGAAAAATATTTATTTCTTGAAATGTCATTATTTTTTGTTTAATTTAATCTACCAATCATTTTTTTTATTTTTAACAAATTTAATGTAATTATCTTAATGGTCAACATCCATTTCCTAACAATGAAAAATAAATGTCATGTAATTTTTTATTTCGTGGTGCACATAATTTTATAATTAAAAGATTTATGAGTAGGAAAGTCAAGAAATGCATATTTTATTTAATAAATAAATGAATTGATCCGAAAAAAAAAGATGTAACGAATAAAATCCGAAAACTTTTAATACTAAATTAAAAAAAAAAAAAAGAGAAAGCAATTAGTTCATCTTATAATTTAAGCCATAAATGTGGCAACTTATAACTTGAGAAACAAGCAAAAGTAATTGTATAGGTCGTCCTCATAGTCAATTCAATAACCTAAAATTCCGTGCAAATTGGGAAAATAAAACAACCACTAAAGTTCACATTCTTTGTTGCCATTTTTCAAAAGCTTAGGGAAATTTGGTTTTAAAGACAATAAGACAAGTGTTTACTCTATTGCCACATACAGAGCCCTTTATCATATGTTATGGACCTAACCTTATCACCATATATCAATCTTAAGGAAATGTTTCATGTCTTCCAAAATCCAATTAGATATTGAGCAAGAAAGACGTTTGAGAACTTTCAAGTCTTAAATTCGATTCATTATCTATCAATTTCATCCAATTTCATAGTTGATTTTTTTTTATTTAAATGCTGGATGTTAATTTGTTAATAATTGTATTTTTTTTTTTTTTTACAAAATGTAACAATTTGATTCATATGGGAGGCAAAGGGAGAGTTTTGGGATTCAAAATTTTGATTTCAATCTTTGTCATTGTATCTGTTGTTAATGCATCTAATTTAAAGCTATCGGATCAAATCTAGATAAATTATTAATGATTCACGTGTTTGTTCAAGCTCGACTTGATTCGATTATTTGTATTTAAATTTTAAATCAGGTTTGTTTAATTAATAAATGGTACAATTTAAATCTATTTAAATATTTTTAAAAAAATAATAATATGGTATATTTATTTAAATTTTAGTATTTTCATGGTTAAAATACTAAAAACGTCCTGAATTATTTTATTTTTTTAAATAAGTTTTTATACTTTATTATATTAAAATAAGTTCTTATTCTTTGATTTTATATTAATAGTTTATTTAAGTACAAATTAAAAATTAAAAACTTATTTAAATACAAATTAAAAGTTAAAAGACTTATTTGAATGTAAATTAAAAGTTAAAAGCTTATTTGGATATAATAAAAATAGAAGAATTTATCTAAATAAAATGATAAAATTTAGGATCTTTATTTTATTTTAGCCTCATTTTATCTTTCTTTTATTAAAGTTTAAAACATAATTACATAGATAATCTAACTTATATTTTAACGTTTACATTATAACATCATAAAATATAAATTATATAAATATATTATATAATTGTAGGATTAAGTTGAATCAGATTCGAACTTTAAATGTTAGAGTCAAGAAACACTTGACATATTTTCTCAACTGCTCTTATATTTTTACCTAAGCATGTTTAATCAGCTTAATTTTTTTTTTAAATCCTTCCAAATATCAAAATTTTCTTTGGACTTGAAGAGTCCTTAAATAGGTCTAATATAATCTCATAATATATATATGTCATTTATTGGCTCAAATCCTTCATTTCCTTAACATCGTATTTGACATGAAAAAGCCATTATACGAGTAAAACTATAAAAATTACAAAAAAATTATTCATAATTATATATGATGATAAATCAATAATTTAATAATTCTTTGGATTTTATTAACTAATTCAATAAAAAAATATGTTTTATTATTGAATAAGAATTAAATATGACGCATAATTTTTAAAAAAATGCATTTGACTTAGTTGTTAATAAGATATTAATAAGGTTTCAAAAGATTAAATGTTCATAATCCCACCGTTTCAACTCCATTCGGTTAAAAAGCATATTTTGAACTGAATAGATCATTGATTCAACTAGTCCATGATTGATTTAATTTTTTAAATATTAAATAAAATAAAAAAAATAAATAAATAAAATATTTTTTTATTTATGAAAGAGGATTTGAATGGATTATGAATCAAACTACATAGTTTTTTGGCACGTTTATTTGGGGAATGGAATTGCCATTTCAAATTTTTCTTCATGAATTGTAAATCGTTAGTTTGGTTAATGAAATCTTTATTACCCCTCAACATTCAAACCCTAAAACTTAAATTTTTGGAATTAATCAAGTCAACAAGTTTCAATTTATAGATAATATGCTTTTGATTTGATTCGATTTTGAGTTAAGTTTTAGATTTTGTGAAGTTTTAGTTTTTTTTTTTTTTTTTTCGTTAAGTTGTTTATTTATGAATTGTGTGTTATGGATACAATTTTTGTAAATTAAAAGGGTTTTATAAAATGTTTTTTATAAATTAAAAAATATACATTTAATTTTTTATTAAGCAAAAAATTAAACATAAATATTTATAATTTTTGTAAAATAATTATTAATATTTTAATATTTTTAATAAAATAAAATAATATAATTTTTAACAAAAAATAATATATTAATAAATTATAATTAATTAGGATTAATATTATTTTTATAATAAATTATATTTAGTTTAATAAAAGGATAATATAGTCACTTAAACTTATCTCAATTATACTTTTTGAACTAACTAAATATATTAACGTTAATTTCTATTATATTCGAATCAATAATTTCTTATTTTATTCTTTTTATTTTTTATTTTCACATAATATCAATTCCTTTTTTTTTATTCATTTTGCAAACTAAGCATACCCTTAATGTTACATAGAAACGTGGCTATGAATTTTTTTAGAGAAAATGTGGCTTTGATAAACCTATATAGCGATATCTCAACCAAAATGGGCTTAAGTTTCTTTTGTGGTGCCACGAGAATTACTCTTGCTATTAAATTCACAGTGGGAAAGGAATTTTAGACGCAAAATATGATTATACACTAAGAGAATAATTCAAAAATTATATAAAAAAATATGTTTTAAAATTTTGATAAATTTGATAAAAACTTAAAAATATATTTCGTATTTAATATATCAATATAAATTATAATATAATAATTTTTATATTATATATATTTAATAAAAAATAAATAAAAAATAAATATATAAATTATTATCTTTTTCTTAAATTGTACCTTCTAGAATACATTATGCAAACAAATAATAAAATGTTCAACTCCCCTGTTTCCACGTGGACCATTTTGGAAAAAATAAATCAAAATTTAGTACTTATGAAATGGTGGGCGGTGATAATTAATTCTTAATTAGGGAAGTTATTTAAAATATTTTGTAGAGAGGACTTGTTCTTAAATTTATTTATTTTTATATTAATAGCACTATTAAATGCCAAAGAGCTGCTGTTACGGCACCAATTTAGGCATTTCTCTCCCCCTTTCAACCCTCACTTATTTTTCCATGGTCCGCTTTTATTTCTCTTTCTAATTTTTTTCGGTCAAACGGGGAATTCTTCCTTTTTTTTTAAAATTTTTTTTAGATGGTGCCGTTTCAAACGGGAGGTCGATCGGACACGTTTTGTTTTTTTATTTGTAACTCTCAATCTTTTATTATTATAAATAAATAAATATCCTACTAAAATTATTATTTTTATATTTTGATATTTATAATAATTTTTTTAAAATTTGTATATACTATACTTGTTCTTTTCATAATAAATCTTAAACCCAAAACTACCCTTTGGAGTATAACCCAAGTGGGGGCAAAATGAGGGTGTATTTTGTCTTTTTCCCTGTGGGATAGGGCTAGTTTTTTTCTTTTTCACATTTATCACCACCATTCAAAAAAGAAAAATTATCAAAATTTAGATAATATATTTAAAAAAGCATAATTTAGGAAAAGTTAATAATATAATAATAATAATAATAACCCTTAATTTTGGTTTATAGTAAAGGGGATTATAGTTATAAGCTTCTTCCTTAATTTCATTTCATTTTGCATTTTCCATTCTCTCTCTCATTTCTAAGGTCAGTTTCTTTTTTAATTATTTTGCTTTTATATATATTTAAAACTCTGTCATCTGTTATTTCTTCATCTGGATTTCTCCATTCTTTATTCATTATTTTTTTTTTATAAAACATTAATATTAATAAACAATATAAAAACATATACAAACATCGTTAAAAAAGACAAGGAAAGGAATAAAAATAATGAAACAGTACTTTGCATTTTGCAAATTTTTAAGTTACCCTTTGTCCTCCATGACAGAAAGGTGGAATAAAAAGAGTTTCTTTTCTTTGATTTGAAAATTCAAGGTTAATGCTTTAATGGATTTTTAAGCAAAGGTGAGATTTTGTTTCTTTTGTAGTTCGAAGCCTTTTTTTTTTTGCTTTCGTTCTAGATTGATGGAGAGGCCACAATAGCATAAGCACCTCATAAAAACCCCTTCAATGGGTAATCTTGTAAAAGCCTGATCTTTTCGGCCTGAAACAGTGTCAGATGAAAGAGAAAAAAGGACGATATGGTTGCTGGGGACATTGTTTAATGCATGTATATATATATACATATACATATTTATATATACATTTGTGCAGTACCCATTAGATATCAGCGTATCTTAAGAATGTCAGGGAGCAAAGGTTATAGCTTAATATAGGCCTGTGGACTCTAGTGTTCTGATAAGAAAAAAAGAGAAACAAACAGGCTTTTCTTTTTGTTCTGTGGGTCTTTATTGCTGGGGTGGTCTAAAACTGTCTTCTTTTTAGCCTGTAGAGTGTGATGGAAAAAAGGCCTGAAACTTTGGTGATAGGTTATTTCTTTACTGTGCTGTTCATTCAATCCTTAGTAGTCTGAAAGGGAATTCATGGCTGTGTGACAGCTATGTTGTACCTTTTGCTTTTCTTGGACTTTGAATCTCTCCCTTGTTACTGGGAGTTATTACATCAACTGAGGTTGTTGATGTTCCCAGCAAGGTGCTGCTGCTACCTGCTGGTGCTTGTCTCATTTTCTTTTTCATTGTTATGTTTCAGTTCTGATGCTGATATAGATGTGCCTTAGTGAATTAATTAATGAGTTTTATTTATTACTAGTATTCTGTTACTGTTATAAATTGATGTTACATGTTTACTTCTCTTGGATTGTCTGTTTCTCTTTACTCTTTGGCTTTTCTTCTTCTGCATGGTTTTTTTTTTTTTTGGCTTGGTGGGGGACTTCATTTCTTGTTTTTCTGCATGCTGTTAATTCAATTGTTTGTTGGTGGTTGAACAGTGAAGGACTGGTCAAGGGTGGAATAGTGAGAAGGAATTGGCTATGGCATCAACTTCTTTTGCCAAGCAGACTCCAGTGCCCATGAAGGAACCAACATCTAACTATAATCCATATCCCCCGCCTCTTGCAAGATATGAAGATGTTGTGGCTAATTCAAAACTTTTCCTGCCTACTTTGGAGAAGCTCCATGCTACCATGGGAACTAAGTTCATGTAAGTTTTTTTTGGATTTCTAAGCTTTTGTTTCCCTAATTTTAGTATAAATATTTCCAATACAGTCTTTGGTTTGACTTGGAAACAGATGGTATAAATAGCATTTCTCTATCCTACTTGCATATGTAATTCTTACATCCAGTGCTACCATCGAGGTTCCGGATGTTTTTGTTTCCTGTAATTTGCAGTATTATGATTATATTATGGTCCTTTTTTCTTTTTCTTGATCGAGTTACTATCTTGGTGATTGATACCCACAAAACAGTATTACTTTTTGAATTTATGATTGGAGCACAGGCTATTCCTTCTGGTTAGCAGTTACATACTATGATTTATACTTCTGGTTGGAGCTTGTCTAGCCTAACTGTGGGGGCAATGACTTGTAAAATGTGGCATTTTTCGTAACGGATGAAATGATGCTTGCTGTAATGTCTTAGTTATTGCTCATGGAGTTTTTAGGTGGTTACTTTGAGTAGTAATTATAGCTATAAAAAAGGGTTTACTTGAGCACATGCATATCCTAGATTTGATTTAGACGTCATCTTTTCTTGGCCGCTTTTTTAAGTTATGATATTGTGATGATCCTGAGTTTTGGTCAAGTTTGTGAAGTTCAAAAGTAGGCAGGACATAGTTGATATAAAATCATGACCGATCATTTTATTCCATATCATTTAGTTTTATAATGCTTAGCTGATTATTCAAAAACTATTGTAGGATTAGTAACACATTCTTTGGTTTTGGCAGTAGAAAAACAGGGGTAATATTTTCTACATTCTTTGAATTACAATCTAAGTTTCTGCTGTTTTTGTGAATCAAGTGCAACATTGTAGGCTAACAATTTTTCCGGCCTTTTCAGACTTGCGTTTGGTTTTATCTGGTTTTCGAAAGTGTTCATTGAAATTGATTATGAGTGGACAACAATTACCTCCATCTGCACATGTTCTTTCTTTTTTTTGACTGAATACATGCCAAGTGGAGGAAGCTTATTGATAATTTTATGCTAAATGTCTATCTCTTTGATTTGATGATGGAATGAACAAAGTGGAACTAAGCTTGTGTCTTTGACGCATAGCTGTTAGAATTAACCTCTTTTGACCATATGTTCAGTAATTGTGCTTGTCAACCCAAATTTTGGTAATTTCTCGTCTCCTCTACTCTGATGTAGGATTCCCATCATAGGAGGAAAGGAGTTAGATTTGCACAGGCTTTTTGTGGAGGTAACATCTCGTGGTGGCATTGAGAAGGTAAGGTGAAAATCTATACACCTGATTGTCCAAGTTTCTTCCCCTCAAGTAGAGGCATTAGAAGTCTCGCATAGTTAATGAATTCCATATATGTTCAATATGGCCATGCATGTTACGCTTGTTTCCTTTCAACAAGCTTGTGGGCTTATATTATTCTGTTTACCGAGTGTCTATAGATATATGTCCTCAAATGTGAAATTGAGCACCACAAATATGTCTAGTTTAAATGGAGCAATCCCCTTGATAAATACCCAGGATATGAGTAGGGATTAGGAAGAACTAGAAAATTTTTCTCTGGAGGAGCTGTGCTAAAGCCATCCGGTGGCAGAGCATCTATCCTTGATGTGAGTCAAGTTTCTGCTTGATAACTTTGTTCAGGTTGCACATTGGTGCTGATTACTGTAATTATTATTATTGAAACATTTTCAGTTAAAAATTAGAACTTTGTAGTTGGCACCACTATTGTTCACATCCAGTCCATTCCTTGTAAATGTTCAGTATGCTCCTGAGTTAAGATGGTTGTATTCATTTAATGTTTTCTATGCTCACAAAAAAACCAGCTTTAGCAGGATATGTGCTTGATTGTGTCTAAAACATCATCGTTAATAGATCTTCATGTGCAGTACAAGCTAGGTGAACCTAATGATTACATTTTATAATTATCTTACTCACTTTGACCTGTGGATAAGCTATGTACTCTAATAGTCATTTATCATTTGTCAAATGGGGCTTGCAGATTATAAGAGAGCGGAAATGGAAGGAAGTGACTGCTATTTTTAACTTCCCCTCTACTGCTACTAATGCATCTTTTGTGCTGCGGAAGTATTATGTTTCTTTGCTTCGTCACTATGAACAAATCTACTTCTTTAAAGCCCGGGGCTGGATCCCTGTTTCTTCTGGTATGCAAATTGAGAACTCATCTCCTTGAATAAATGTCACAGTACTTCTAATATCATATTCATTTATGCAGATCCTTTTCAAAACCCATCCAATACACATATTCCTACTCATGGGGCAGTGCGGCCAGTTACAGAAATTCATGCAGCTACTGTCCAGCAACCAAGAGTAAATATAGCCGAGTTGCCTGCAGGTGCCTTTAATGGTTTCTATGCTGAATGATAGTGTCTTTATATTTTCTAAAGTTGGTGGTCATTTCCCTTCTTTCCCCCCTCTTCCTTTTTGGTCTCTAAACCATTTCCAATCATTCTTTTCTGTTCTTTGATTGACCAAATAGGAAATGAATTTTGTTTCAAGAATTTACTTAAATGATTCTCTTTTTCAGTCCAGTGAGTTCTTCATTTTCTTATTCGATTATTTTAATTAATATATTAATTCTCTATAGGAAACAATTATCTCCTTTGATTCTAGCAACCGGAAATGCTATCATTAGGTGCTTTGTAACAGTTATGGGGAATATCTTGTAGATAATTTGTCAAATTTTCTTTAATCACCAAATATGTTAATTAACAATTATTTAAGATCCATACTTCTAACTTGGTCAAAGAGAAAAAGAAAAAGATTTATGCTTCTAATGTTTTGCAATTGATTATATATCTCTCATATGATATTAATGCCGTTTTAAATCTCTATTGTTTAACTTGGTTTGAATCTTTCTAACATTTAGTCTCTTTGTAAGTTTCATGATTTGGTCCATTTTAATAATGTGTTTTACTTGGTACAACAGTGAGGCCAGCGTCAACAGCAGGCTTTCCCGTGATTGGAGTCATTGATGGGAAATTTGAGAGTGGCTATCTTGTTACTGTCACCATTGGCTCAGAGAAGCTAAAAGGCGTCCTTTATCAGGCTCCACATGATGCAGCACCCCAAGTGCCTCACCAATATGGTGTATTTGCCAGCAAGAGTGATAATTCTCATGCTTCATTGGGTGTGCAACGCCGGAGGCGCAGGAAGAAATCTGAGATAAAAAGGAGGGATCCTGCTCATCCTAAACCTAACAGGAGTGGATATAATTTCTTTTTTGCTGAGCAACATGCAAGACTGAAACCACTTCACCCTGGAAAGGATAGAGAAATTAGTAGAATGATTGGTGAATTGTGGAACAACTTAACCGAATCAGAAAAAGCAGTAAGATCAATTTTATATTCTGTAATTCATGAATGGAATATGTCTTACAACTCTATTTTCTCTTTTATAAGCTGTTTCTTAACTTCTATCTGCTTGCATGGACTTTCATGATTGTTCAGGTTTATCAGGAGAAAGCTCTCAAAGATAAAGAAAGATATAGAATTGAGATGGAGGATTACAGGGAAAGATTAAGGACAGGTCAAGTTATCAGTGATGCAGTGCCCCTACAGCAACGGTTTCCAGAACCAGATGTAGATATGGCAGAAGGAGATCTGAAGCTTGAAGAAACTGAACCTGGTGATTCTCCTCAAACTCCAGATAATGATAGCAGCTCTGGTGGAAGTGATTTTGAAGATGATAAAATTGTAGATAAGGATTTAGATATGGAAGAATCTCCAGTTGCGGGAGTATGTGGTGAATCTATGAATGTAGATGTGGAAATTTCATCTGAGCCAGTTAATGAGCTGTTTAAGGTGGAAGAGAATATTGGAAATAATAAGATTGAGAAGTTCAGTATTGAGGGTGAAGATAACTTAGGCAAGGCTCTGTCAGAGACAACCAGAGAACCAATGCCAAGTGAAAAACACTAAATTTGCTAGTGTTAAGTTAAACTTTTTGCAATGAAGGTTGACTATCCTTGTAGTCATTGTGACTTACCTGACGATAGATGCATTCAGAGATGGTAATTCACTTTTTTTTTAGTTTATTTTTCTCCTTCATAGTTGCTTCCTTTTTATTTATAAAAATTTAGTGTTACTGTTAGCAGAAGGTTTTGTTTCCTCAGGTGGAAGAGGGCTGGATTTTTGGCTGGCTTGGGAAAGTTTTGTGGGGAGAACTTTTGCTGCAAATGTTAATTGACATTGTATGTTACATCCCAACCCCTGCCAAAAACTCTCAACTAGAATATGGTGCTATGAGAGGGCTCATCTGTAAACTGTAGTTGACAAAAAAGTGTAGAAATGCGTGAGGAAAAATTTTCTACATAATGCATAGATAATGAGATCTGAATTTCATGTTTTTGCACTTGCTTATTTGCAATGTGATAGAATTGTTGCGCAGGTTTGAAACAGGCACACCCAATCTTTCCATATGTATTGGAAGATCAAACTCATAAACCATGTTTATTTTGAGCTGCTTGATATATGTTAAACAATTAACATCAATGCATCTGGAAGAAAGTGCCAAAGTAAATAAAGGATAAAAATAGAACTTATTTTTGCTATAATGTTCATAATCATGGCTGTAGTTGCACTAATCTTTGACATGCACTTTTGAAATGGTTGGTGACGACATGTTCAGGTGGAAAGTTGCTGTCATGTGCTGGGCCTTCTGATATTCCTTTTGATGGCAATGCTTGTCTCCATTAAAAAATCCCTGATGATTACCCTTTCAAACCTCCAAAGATTATATTTATAACCAATGTTCAGCTTTCTTGTAATATGCGTCTCATTTCAAACAACTCCATTGATTTGGCAGTAAAACCCTGCTCAATATTATATGTAGTCTTGTCTCCAACGATGAACTCTATTTCCGAACAGCTACAAAACACAAAAAAAGTTTAAATTCCAACATCTTGATTCAAGCACAACATAAAAGTATTAAAATCTAATCAACAAAATTAATTGCATAAGCAAAAACTCAGAATCAGAATGAAACTAGAATGAAGAAAAGAATATATATATATATATAGTAAATAAACCAAAATAGTTGGCCTGTTCTTTTCCGCTACGGAATTTTGATTAACTATATGACTATGTGCTAGTAAAAGCTGATACAAATATACCAGGTGGCAGGTATATATATATATATATATAGTAAATAAACCAAAATAGTTGGCCTGTTCTTTTCCGCTACGGAATTTTGATTAACTATATGACTATGTGCTAGTAAAAGCTGATACAAATATACCAGGTGGCAGGTGAAGATGAATAGAATAAGACTGCAAAATATGATCAGTCACATTTTTTTTTCATACAAATGTATGGAAAATTAAGGGAAAATGTCATGAATCTGAGATCAAAAAAGCATCCCAGATCATATCCATATCCAAGGGAGGCATTCTACTTAACTGTACAGCTTCCACATCTGATGATAGAATCGCCGGAGTTTTCCTATTATTCTCATACACTTCAGACCCTGCCTTACTTTCCAGCTCAAATTGCCACTCTCTTTTTGCTGTGTTTTGATTTAAATCTTTGACTTTTGCTGGTGTCGGTGACGGGTCATTTGACTTCTTGTTAGCAGAAATACCTTGTGATGCTGCTTGCAACTTGGGTTCAAGAAGTGCCGCAGTGTTTCCATTGAAAGAATTGGCCTTGAATTGATGCTTAAGATCTGGAAAATTCAAATGTGCATAGTCTCCACGCAACATGGATGCTGCTGTATCATACGCTATAGCAGCTTCTTCTGCAGTGTCAAAAGTCCCTCTTGGTCTATTTCTTGGTAGCCTTATCTCTGCAACCCATTTCCCCCAATGCCTTTGCCTTACCCCTCTGAACAGCTTTCCAGGTGATGAAGCTGATGATAAAGAACCCTTTTGGTTCTGCTTCTGCAATCTGCGTCCAGTATACTTCATAGGCTGAGTCTTGGTAGTGCTAAGCCAATAGTCACTAAAACCTTTGGATGGATAACTTTTCAAGCTCTGGTTGATATTAAGCCATTCATTGCCCAGTTGAGACTGAATCTGGCCAAGTTGAGGCATGTGGTTTTGTGACAAAGTCGATGCAGGTTCACTCTTTTCACCATTGGAATCAATGACTGGTGTGGATGGAGAAGGTGGTTCTGAAACTTGAGCTTGGTTTAGTTTTGGAAAGGACTCCAAGAAGTTCACTGGAACAAAACCACCCTTAACATCAGTAACAGAATCTCCAGGCAGGTGGACAGAACCAAACCCTGAAACAAATAAACTTGAATGGTGTTCATCCACAACATCCTGTCTGACAACTCCAGGAATGTTTTTGAACAAACTGGCTCCGGAAGCCTCCTCTGCTGAAGAACTGGAATCGGAACTTAAAAGCAGCCTATCAGGTGATGATGAGGTTGACTTACTTCCACTGCCACTTCCATTTTCCTGACAAGCAGTCTCAGTTAAAGCACCCCAAATGATTTGATCGTTGAAAAATTTTGGACCTGTGGCCATGCCATAAATATAAGATGGCCACTCCTTGTTCATGAAGGTTTCCATTATAGAAACTGATCTTCCACACTCATAATTTTGGCTGAAAACAGAACAAAAATGAGAAGGAGATGGAAATGATGCAAATGAACGTACTCTGCTTTATATATTAAGCCTTAATCTGAAGGTTTCTGCTAAAGCCACGTAAAATAATATTTATGCGAAACTCCTTTATGTTTATAAAAGCAAAGTTATCGTCCCAGTCAGATCTGCTTTGCTCAATACAACAAGATCACCACCTTCCAATTTCCCTAGGCATTCGTGCTAGCCATTATCGATGTTTATAGATAAACCAATAAAAACTTACAGATTAGGTAGATTTGATAATTTTAAATAAAAAAACATGAATTAACAACAGATAAGAAAAACATGAAAATGATATAATTTAAAATTTTAGTAAAAGTTGTATGTAGGTTTAGTAAAAATAAAATTATATATATGTTTTGTGTTTGATCTTTTAATACGAATTATGAAATAATTATTTTCGTGTTTTACATGCGGTAAACACGAAATAAATAAACACTCTACTTTACCTATCATCTAGGTTCTTAGGATGGTTTATATTCTCTTATGACAATGACTGCAAGAATCTCAAACTCCTTGACTTCAATGGCATAATTATACTAATTTTAATCAAATGACCATGTGATTTTCTCAAATACTCAAATGACATTCTTTCCCTTTTACTGTCTGCTTTTAATTTAAAATGAAGATTAGACTTTACAATGAGACAATAATTAATTGTTGTTATAGTTATTAGAAGTGAAAACAAATTGCAGAGTAACATCCTAAATTTAAATATGATATGCTAATTGCATAGTTTCAGTCTGCATGGATGGATTGAGTTAGGTCAAAATATTCATAATTAGTTCTCAGGTTCTTGTATTACAGGTAATCAGAAGAGAAATTCATGGTTGTGTCATTATCAGTGTAGACACCCAATTTGGTCCAGGTCCGGATCAATTGGGTCTGATCCAAATGGGTAAGCCCAATTTAGTTTTTATTTTGTATTTTATATTATTTTTATTTTTATTTTTATTTTATATTTTTTTTCCCTTTGTATCTTATGTATTTATTATTTATTTATTTATTATTACTATGTATTAATATATGTATTTCTTTATTTATTTATTTATTTTTTTTGTTAATATTTATATGTATTTTATTTATCTAGTTATATATTTATTATTATAATTAATTTATTATTTTTTTCTTTTATTTATCTTGTAATATTTTTTATTTATCTTATTATTATTTTTAATTATCAGTTATATTTTTTTTCTTTTTTTGTTTATCAGATTTTTTTTTCTTTTTTTTGGGTTGAGATTGATCTTTGAAGAATCCTATCGTGAATGGGGATTCAATTAGAATCCAGATTGGATTCAAAGATTGAATCCCCATAAAAAAAATAAGGATTGATCAGAAACTCTTCTGATCAATCCCTATAAATAGGTACAGAATACAGAAGCAAAAGACAAAGAAAACAGTGAGCACAAAGGCTACTGATTGAGAGAAAAAGGCGTATAGAAAATTTTTGAAAGCTAAAAGAAGGTTAAGAAGTGTTAGAATAGCTGTGAGAATCGAAAAGATTTTTTGGAGATTTTTGGCGAAAAATTTTTTTGAAAATTTTCCAGATTCCGGTGATTTTTTCGACGAAAATTGAATTTTTCGACAATAATTCTGGCCAACTTTGAAGTTTTTGGCGAGCTGCCTAGTTTTCGGTGAAGAATCCCAGAAACCGATCAACTTTTCGGTGAACTTTCGGTGAAAAACCCAGATTTTGACAAAAAATTCCAGAATCCGGTGAATATTCAACCGGAGTTCTTTGACCGTTTTAGAGAGAAACAAGAGAAAAAAAAAGAAGAGAGAGAGAGGGGAGAAGGTTTCTGCTGAAAAACGAAGGAAACAGCCTTATATACCATTTCAAAACGATGTCGTTTTTGCCTTAAGTGACCTAGAGGATCCGTGCGTTTTACCAAGATCCGACCCGAACGTCGATCCACTTTCGACAGGCGCGTGTCTTCTTCCCTCTGAGTCGATAGTCGAGTCGAGCCGACGTCCCGTGCTGCTTCTTCGAGCCATTTTTCTTCCTTGAGCCGAGCAAAGCCGAGCCATTTTTTGAGCCGCTCCAGGTTTTTTTTTTAATTTATTAATTTATTTATTTATTAGATTAGGTTTATTTAATGTTTTTTTATTTTTATTTTTATTTTTATTTTTGTTTTACTTTTCTTTATTATTTTTTTTATTTCTCACTTTTATTTTGTTTTATTATTTTATTTTCTGTAAATAAAATCCAAAAAAAATTTTTTTGAAAGAAGTTGAAAGTATCAATTTTTCTTAAAAATAAATTTTCAAAAAAAGTTTTTTTTTGAGAAAAAGTTGAAAGTATCAATTTTTCTTAAAAATAAATTTTTTTAAAAAATATTTTTGGAGAAAAGTTGAAAGTATCAATTTTCCTTAAAAATAAATTTTCAAAAAAATAAATTTTTGAAGAAAAGTTGAAAGTATTAATTTTTCCTGCATAAAAACAATCATTCTTTTCTCCATTTTATTTTTTTTAAATGTTAAATAATCCGACGATGGAGCCTCTACAAGTGAAACAATAGTTTTTCTTGCATACTCTTGAGGTGAGGGAATTTTCTCAATTTTTTGCTAAAAGTATTAGAGTCAATTGAGAATAATTTTCAATAATTAATTACTTGGTAAATTTTTAAAGCTCATTGGATAACACAAATTTAAGTTGGTACCATCTTTTGATAGATGTTGTGAGGGTGCTATAACCTTCCTCACACGTAATCGAACTCTCAAATCCTGTTCTGGTTAGTAGACCTGAACCTATTTTTTTAGGGGCCCTTAAACTTAGGTGTTCCATGAAAGGACATATTCTTTAGGTGACCAATCGCACCTAGATAAAAAAGATTGGTGGCGACTCCCTTAAGTCAATGTCTAGCGATAGATCCCCGTATCTAGACGTTATGACAGCTTGACGACTCCACTGGAGATTTTGAGAGTTAGGCCAGCAACTAATTTGTGTTATCCAAAAGCCTAATAAAATTAAACCTTTTTGTATATATGTGTTATTATTCATTCATGTTTATTTACCTTGTTAATTATGTCTTTCATATGTATGAGCATAACATGAGTTCTATACCCGAGCTCTGTCCCTCTAGGAGGGAGTAAAGTACCTATTGCTTTCGTGAAGTCTAATACCTCCGCAGTGGCTAGCGAAATACTCCCACTCAAATTGAACCTTTTTCGCTTGTAGCCTATAATGGGTGAGGATTAGGGTGCCTTACTAGTCTGTGATGGACAATGATGTAAGGAGCAATTTGAGGACCTTTAGACTTTGATCTTGAACCACATATAGTGAACCTTAAAAGTGTCTAACCCTAAGATAGAGCTCTTTCTACCCAATGATAGATATACCCTGAAATTAAGACACAAAAAGGGTGTTTATCTAATCATTTTGATTGTTTAACTTTGTGCATCATTATCATATGTAACATTATGCATCATCATCACTTTCATTTCATCCATGAAACTAACTATGTTGTTTGTCTGATTGTATGCATCTACATTATTTTCATGATCATGTTTTAACACAATCATTTGCATCTATTTTCATATTAGATTTCATTCAAAAAAATGTACATTTCATTCGTACATCAAAGCATCAAAGCATAGCATAACATTTTTAATCATAATTGTGGTGCTAAAGGTTTAAGAATAGCTTCATCTAGTAAGAACCCTACCCATTGATACAACATAAGATCCAGAGCCAGACAAATAGAGCAAGAAAATTCTCACAGATTCGAAAAGATAAAAAAAGCACAGAAAAAGATTGAAAGTGAGTTAAGCAAGATTCTGGATGCTCTTAATAGGCTGAATAAGGGAAAAAGAGTTGAAGAAGATACAAGCCAACAAGTTCCCTCGTTGCAAGAAGTGGCTGACCCTTTATATCCTCTAAGTTTTGGCCCACCTCAAGCCCAGTCTGCTCAAGAGATTCCGTCACAACACTTCACATATCCAACATATCCTGAAATATCGTCAGCTTTCAACCCAGGGCATTATAATAGCTTTGTAAACTCTGTCTTTACTGAAAAGGTAGTAGAATCAATTCTTGATCTAAATGATCTAAAAGAGAAGGAGAAAGAAAAGATAAAAGTGAAAACTCAAGAAAGCTCCAAGATTAGTATGCTAGAGTAAAGGCTATGGGCTGTGAAAGGATTTGATTTTTATGGGTTAGTTGATGCTGCTAGACTCTGCCTAATCCCTGATGTGGTCATTCCTCATAAGTTCAAAGTACCAAAATTTGAAAAATATGACGGTACGAAGTGCCCCAGAACTCACATCACCATGTATTATCGAAAGATGGTAGCTCATGCTCATAATAAAAAACTCTTAATGCATGTCTTTCAGGATAGCCTTACTGGCTCTGTGGCCAGATGGTATGTTCAGCTGGACAGAACCCGCATTCACTCTTGGAGCGATATGGCACATGACTTCATCAATCAATATCGACATATTATCAATTTGGTCCCTGATCGTTTGTCTTTACAGAATCTGGAGAAAAAGGCAAACGAGTCTTTTAAAGAGTATGTCTAGAGGTAGAGGGATGTTGCTTCTCAAATACAACCTCTTTTGACTGAGAAAGAAACTATAGTGTTATTTGTCAGCACTTTGAAGTCTCTCTATTATAAAAAAATGATATGGAATACGACAAAGAATTTCACCGACATGGTAATCTCTGAAAAAATTATTGAAAGTGTCATAAAAAATGGTAAGTTGAAAGAAGGATAAACCAAGAAGGCATCAGAAAAGAAAGAAGCTCAAGCTCAAGCTGTGAGCTTTGATAGACAACAATTCAGGGGTTATCAACCCTATCCATCCTAAGGTTACTCTTCATACTATCCTGCTATGAATAATACCTCATCCTACCCATACCAGTTAGTTCCACAACCACCTTATTCATCCACATACCGATCAATTTTTAGCCCTCAAGATCTTACATATAGCCTTAACATTCAAGCTCCTGTAAGAACCTAAATTCACCTTACTAATCCAGCAAGTGGTTCACAAGAACAACAAACTACTCGAGAAAAACTTGTATTTGATCCAATCCCTATGACTTATACAGAGTTATATCGAGAACTT